TGGGTATATCTGAGCTGATATCGTAAATTGAAACAAATTCGAATTGCATTGTTGTTAGCCGCTTTCTGTTTGGCCGACAGCCACAAGTGCATGGCGATGTTGGGCAATTGCTCATTACGTTCGTATACTAAGTGTATATAACTGTATCGTATATGTGGTCAGGGGCAGGTAAACGTGTCTAAATCATATAGTATATCTCCCATACACACACACAGAGAGAGGGGGAGAAAGGGAGACACACGCACACGCTGACATAAATAAAATCAAGTCATGAATGAAAATGCGTTCGCCTCAGCGATTTCCTGTTGCATTTTGCATTTAACAATTTTTACCTCTACTACATCTTGTTCGTCTTATTGCTTAGCATAAACTATTTGATATATCTGCGAGCGTTGAAAGGCCCAAGCAGAACAATTCATACTTTGTGCATCGCCTCAATATTTTGGCATACGGCCATTCAATTCAATTTTGAATTCGGTTTAGCAAAGTAATATATAATTACAAGCATAACTGAAAGTGCAATTTGTCTTCATAAAATACACATATAGTATATTGCTGCGTCTATCTTCTAGAACAATCATCGTGGTTAGAGCACAAATTTCGATTGAATTTCTCATATGCTTTCTTTTATTTTGGACGCAATTATTAATCCGCCAAAAATTTCAATTTCTGTCTCATGGGAATCACCCAGAGCGGCATCGAGTACTTTTTCGCAGACTCGTTTTTCTGCATAGTAAACATAATTTGACTCAAATGGATTTGTTGTTCAACGTTTAAGAATGACCATCAAAGCAAAGTGGCAAAAATTGAAAGAGCAAGAGATGTGATAAGCATCATGGCCAGCTGAACGTTTACGAATGTCGTCTATGTTTGTTGGCAGTACTTATAAGTTGGAAATAGGCTTGAATGTGATCTTTGTTGCATGTCTGCAAAGCCCCTGCTATATGGGCAGAGGCAAGAGTATTTTGTCGTCGGCATGCAAAATATATGCCGTACTTTCTCACTTCTTGTTGCCCGACATCTTGAGCTAAGAACTGAAATTTTGAGGCCATAATTGTATTTAGCTGCTGCGATTATTATCTAAAAATATTTATATATACATGTGTATTTCAGCCGGGGCCCACAAATAATACACAGCACATGCGGACACAATTGCTTTAAAATAGCAACCGAAACGTCAAAGGGGCCACGCAGCCTCCTCTACCACCCTGCCAGCCATTTCCCCGCCCGAACGGAAGGGGAGCGTGTTGCAAATGAATCATCAAGATTCGGCATTGGCATAAAGTTCATGAATTGGCCAAGAAATGATATGTTAAATGCGCTCAGTCCCGATTTGGGCAGGCAAGTGCATTTATTTTTAAATGCGCGTCACACGTGGCGTATGCGCAATGCAACCAAATTGCGCATACGCAGCTTGGTCTGAATCATCAACATCTACTTCGTATGTCATATTTTCATTATTACCTATTATTATTATTATTATTATTATTATTATTATTATTATTGGAATATTTTGGCATTATGGCGCAGAATGTTTTGTTTTCTTGCTCTTGTTTTTGATGGCCCAATGCTTACATCTATATACAAAAAATGCGTGCGTGTGTGTGGCAAGTGCTGAAAGCACTCGCCAAATGACGCAAAATGTGTTGCGCCAATGCGATATTGTTATTATTATTAAAATTATTTATATTATTGTTTTTAGCCACGCAGAGTCCCTATTATAATTTGGTCAAAACATGTGGCCATATACATATATACCTGATCAATAGCTGTACATAATGTCGAAATCGGCCGAAACGAATTACCATATCATATACTAGCTGTCATGACTTATTGCACTGATTTCTTAAGTAAACTGTGCAATTTGCTTATGAACAATATTTCATCTATATCGGACAACTGCAACATCTAACTCTATGGTAAAAATCGTTTCGATCTGAGTTCAGAAATTGCTAATATCCTTACATACCTGCGGAAATCTGTCATAGAGTATTTGAATATCGGTGTGTCGCTCTCTCTCTCGTGCACCTATTGAAAACGGGTAAACGGGGTATGATAGGTTTGTGCATATGCATGTAACAGGCAGAAATATAGATACCTGATCCACTTCAGCAGTATGCATCGAAAAACTGTTAAATAAAGAATTTGTGAAGTTAGAGCCGTGGACTTTCTGGAGCATAAGGATCGGACTACAAGCAAGTGTGTGTGTGTGTTGTGCAAATGTGCATAGATGGAAAGCTGGCATATTTGTATTTGGCTCAGGGTATCTGTGGGTCGGCTATTCCCGTCGTGTAGAGCGCTCTCGTCATTTTTGCCGTTTTTCACTTTCCACTTGCTCGCACAATGGATTCATCTAGTTGTTGTTGTTGTTGCTGCGTGCAGTTTGATCGAAACGCTCGCATTGAGCACTCCATGTGGCACGTTTTGGCCCTGATGGCCCATTGGCCATGTGCAAAGCCAATGCCCAACAGATGACTCCAGGAAATTGCGGCTCTCCGGCGTCCCGTGCCGCACGCTTCGCTGTGGCCCGTCGCTGCATGCCTGATCTACGGCAAATACAATCGATTGAGTTCAAAAATTCCATGCCGCATTGAACTCTGTGGCCTGCGGCGAGCGTACGGAAAAATTACAAAAAAAAAAAAAAAAAAAATGAACAGCAAAAAGAAATAGAATTGCGAAGATATCAAAACAGAAATTCAAAAAGAAAACACACCCAAAATGTACAAAATTGGAAATGCCAATGAAATTCCAATGCGCGCACACATCGACGATCTATAAGGAATGTATTTATATATATGTATGTATATAGAAGCTATACAGATTCGACAGTGAGAAATCGCCAACTCTTGTAAGACATGTGTAAATATTTACGTTTCAATTGTGGCCGGGGGCGGCAAAATGACGTCGACGTCGACGTCGACGACCGACGCAAGAATTTTGGAATTTGGCATGCTTGAAGGACGCCTACTACTACTGATACCCTGTACTCATTGAAACGGCAGGGTATTATGGGTATTTTCTAATTATCGACGGCTGCAAAATCGATTAATTATCGGCTTGCAGATTCGTTTCTTTGAGCGGAATGTAGATCTCATAAAGTCTACACAGATCCGGAATATTTTTGAAATTTTGAAGACAGTCTTCCAAGCTCCCTTTCCTCCCATTTACAAGGATGTTATGTGTTTCTGCCTTGTCTAGCGCAATCAAGAGCTGCATACAGGGTATCTTCAGGTGAGGTACTCACCGCAAGCTGCTTTATGGCATTGTTGTTGTGTACGTAACGATCCAAATCGCGTGGGCCGCATACGGATTTTTTGGATTCGAATGATTCAGCTGGCGCCCATTGCGAATGCATTTCGCATTGGCCAAGCATTTCGCTTGGTTGCGCCCAGATCCACTTGAGTAAGTCACAAGTCCTGAACTGTTCTGTTCCAGCATCAGCAATCGTAATAACAAGACATATTTCTAGTCCTATATTTATCTTCTTATTTGCTAATTGATGTGCCTAATAAACTACACAATCTGTTGAAAATTTGCCGTTAGATGAAATACCCTCTAAAAAAGAAAACAAACGGAAATGTGAATGCTGAATGCTTAACAGGTTTCCTAAATATTCTCTACACCTATTTCCTTTTACCAATAATGGACGTTTGTTTCGAACGGGTCAACAACGAGTTGTTAGGCTAGCTGCGCACTTAAATAATATCGAATATTTATAAGTATATTTATGCATATTTACGTTCGCCCTCGCCGTCAGCTCTTTCGCTTGTGCCTTTTGCAGGCGTTGCCAGCTGGACCAAAATGGCTGACACGCTAGTGACGTCACAGCTGCCTGTTGAAACCAATAACAAAGCCTGAAAAACTGTAAACACCTAAACACCCACTCGCCCATTCCGCCCAGCGTTGCCAGCCCGGACGTGGCGTCACAGTTGCCACATTTCTGGAGCTATTTTTAGTCGAATATTCTAAATTTGGACGCGCCATGTGTCAGATGCGAATAACGAAAAAGATAACAACAAAACAACTTGAACTTGACATGGCCCAGCTAGCGGATAACCTTCTAGCGGCTGCTGCAGATAACGAGAACTTTGGCCAACAATCAAATGCACTCACTCAGTCGCAAATTGTCTCTGCTCCAAGGTGAAATGCTGTACTGCCTGCCGCTCATCATCGCCGCCGTGTGCATTGCCCTGGCTCTGGCCACGCTCAGCTGGCTGCCGTTGCGCCCGTGGCTGCGCCGGCGCCGACGAGCCCACGAGCTGGCCGCACTGCTGCCGGGACCGCGTACGCTGCCATTGATCGGCAATTTCAATATGTTTCTGGGCTTGGAGCCGTCACAGTTGCCCCAGCTAATTGGCGAACTGGCGGACAAGTATGACGGCACCTTCAAACTCAAAATGGGCACCAATTTTAGCGTTATGATGTTCAAGCCGCGCGACGTCGAAACTGTGCTGGGCAGCACCCAGCTGCTGGACAAGGCCGTTGAATACAATTTCCTAAGGGGCTGGCTCAACGAGGGCCTCCTGGTCAGTCGTGGCCGCAAGTGGCACAAGCGTCGCAAAATTATAACGCCAGCCTTCCACTTTCGCATTCTGGATCAATATGTCGAGATCTTTGATAGGCAGACGCGTCTGCTTGTCAATCACTTGGCCCAGGCTCGTGGCGATGGCAGCAATTTGGTTGAGCTGGGACATGCTGCGCATCTATGCGCCCTGGATGTCATCTGTGGTGAGTATAAAATGCGGGCGATATCTAAAGGATCCGTTCACTTCAAACAGAATTGAATGCTTACTGTGCAGATGTGTGTTACAGCCAAAAGGCAGCAGCTTCCACGCCATAATGCATACATATATGATCCTGATCAAGAACAAGTTTTGGGTAACAACACTCGTACCCCCGACTGGAGCTGTCATCTTTGCCATCGTTTGGACTTTTTTTTGGAGCTATTCGAAATTGACCTCGACCCAGACCCACTCTATCAATAATGTGGGTACGCACAGCTTGTTAACTCGTCACCGTCCAACGATTGGGCAAAGTGCAGCCGGGCGGGCGGCTCGTAAAGATGCTCTCACAGCGATTAGATAGCCGGGAACTCGAGCAGTCACTAAGTGTGTCCGTGCCGATGGCAGTTTGTGGATAAGCAGCGATTAGATTTGTGTCCATAAATATTGCTAATGTTGACGCCGACCAAAATAGCTGCAAATGGAGCAATTGAAGGGGTTTGGACTAGATATAGCTAATGATCGTTGTTTTGGGCTTTAGTGTAGAATTGCGTTGCGAGTGCTGCAGTGGAATGTTTCTAGCACTGGGTCTCTTCTTGGCCAGCGCCCTCTTTTTGGGTTTGCTCATCTACCAGCTGAAGTTCAAGCATCTCATCGAGGTGACTCGCGATTTGGCCAGCCCGCCTGCGTGGCCGCTATTGGGTCATGGCCATCATTTTATTGGCAAGGAACCGCACGAGATGATGCAAACACTTGACGATTTCATGAGACTCTATGCCAGGGATGAGACGCTCAAAGTGTGGCTGGGTCCAGAGCTGAACATGCTGATGGCCAATCCCAAAGATGTGGAGCTTGTGCTGGGCACACTTCGCTTCAATGACAAGGCCGGCGAGTACAAGGCCCTGGAGCCGTGGCTCAAGGAGGGTCTGCTCGTCAGTCGCGGCCGCAAATGGCATAAGCGCCGCAAGATCATAACGCCCGCCTTCCATTTCAAGATTCTCGAACAGTTTGTCGATATTTTTGAGCGTGAATCGCGTGTGCTTTTGCACAATTTGGATAAGGAACGCCAGCGGCAGGGCCAGACTGGCTTTAATCTATACGATTGGATCAATCTCTGCACCATGGACACCATTTGTGGTAGGTAAACGGCTCCAAAGGGCTCCCAGCTCAGGAGCTATCTTCGGCCCCATTAACATGAATCCACCATCAGAGCCTTCTATGGCACGTGCAGATAGTTTGCTGAAAAATTATCGATAAATTATCGATATATAAATGATCAGTTATCGAAATGCGGTCTTTTAAAGCTACGAAAGTGAATTTAACTTTCTAGATACCTTGGGATTTCACATTTTTATGCATTGAACATTTTCGAAAGATCGGACTATAAACTCCGAACTTATAGTGGGGCAGAGGGAAGAAGCTGGGTCTAGTTATAATTTGACGTACCCAAATGAATCCTATCTAATTTAAAACAAGTAATACATACCTATGATTTGATCTTAATCGGAGTTTGTCCACTTTTAAACAACTTGCAAATTTGTCCGTCCAGAAACTGCCATGGGCGTCTCCATCAATGCACAGACGAACGTGGACTCGGAGTATGTGCGCGCGGTGAAGACCATTTCGATGGTGCTTCACAAGCGCATGTTCAACATATTCTATCGGTTCGAGCTGACCTACATGCTGACACCGCTGGCTCGGGCCGAGCGCCGAGCGTTGAATGTGCTGCACAACTTTACGGAGAAGATCATTGTGCAGCGGCGCGAGGAGCTGCTGCGTGCGAGCAATGCCGGCGAGCCTAGTGCACAGAGTGCGGACGATGCTGACGTTGGTGCTAAGCGTAAGATGGCCTTTCTGGACATATTGCTGCAGTCGAGCATTGATGACAAGCCGCTGACCAATCTGGACATACGCGAGGAGGTGGACACCTTTATGTTCGAGGGCCATGATACCACCTCCTCGGCCATTATGTTCTTCTTTTACAACATTGCCACGTATCCGGAATGCCAGCGCAAGTGCGTTGATGAGATTATCTCGGTGCTGGGCAGGGATAAGGCGACGCCCGTCACATACGATCTGCTCAATAAGCTACACTATGTCGATCTATGCATCAAGGAGACGCTGCGCATGTATCCGTCGGTGCCACTGCTGGGACGCAAGGTGCTCGAGGAGTGCGAAATAAGTGAGTTGTGGCACTTTGCACTACCAATCCATCAAATGCACTCATTCTTTTCATATCCAAACAGATGGCAAGATCATTCCAGCCGGCACCAACATTGGCATTTCCCCCTTATATTTGGGACGGCGCGAGGAGCTCTTTAGCGAACCGGACACATTCATACCGGAGCGTTTCGATGTTGTCACCAGCGCCGAGAAGCTCAATCCGTATGCCTATATACCCTTCTCGGCGGGGCCGCGTAACTGCATTGGCCAGAAGTTTGCCACACTGGAGATTAAGGCCATTGTCGCGAATGTGCTGCGGCACTTTGAAATTGAATTTGTGGGCAATACCGCAGAGCCGCCAGTGCTCATTGCTGAGCTGATCCTGCGCACCAAGGATCCACTCATGTTCAAGCTCAAAGAGCGCATTATTTAAAGACGCCTTCATGTTGTTTTTGTTCCGTTAAAATATTGCAATAGAGATGCGTGTGGATATATAATAAATACTGAAAACTATCGATAATTGATTGACTATCGCGATAAGCGATAAGTATCGCAAGATATTTGAAATAGGGTTCAAAGTAAAATTAATTAATATGCAATTATTAAAAAATATATGCGACAAAAATAGGACTGGACAAAAATATAAAATAAATGTAAATCTAAGATGATGAATTGAGTTGAGACATACAGCAATTGAGCAAGATTGAATACGAGCTATAGAGATCCAATTTTTCGCAAGAAATATTTTGGTTGCATCAAAATATAAAGTTTTTATTCCTCAAAAGACAGAAAGAGGGTAATTGACCTAAGGGTTGGACATTAAAGCTAAATCAAAACACATATTGTTGTTAGTTTTGCCGCCCCATTTGTTGCAAAAAGTCTCGCATCCTTTTAGAATTCGTTAGCAATGGAGGAACTAAAACAAAAAATTTTTGAAACCCATTTTGAAATTGGCGAAAGCGAAGAAAATGAACAAAATATATGGAGCGCTGTCGGCGAATCGATAATAACGTATATATCAACAAATCACTCCGACTCCGAGGGATCATCCTTGGTGACCTGATCGTGAATGGCATAACAAAGTGTCTCCAGAAATGCTGGATCCATTTCGCGAATAATACTGAGTGCCGAACTAAGCAAATTTGAATTGCGGATCACGCGGCGCTGGTCACTTGTTGAACCGTTGCTCGAATTGGATCTGGCACTGGAGAGTGCTGCCATACGCATATAGGGAGCCTGTTGGCGGGCAACAGCATCGATTGCGTCCTTGCGCAGCTGGGCAACTACTGTGGCAGCAGCTGCTGCGGCAGCGGCTGTGGCAACTCGAACGTGTTGATGTGCATGCTCGTGCATTTGTTTCACCTGGCGGCGATGCTGCAGGTCATCGCTGTCCTTTGGCCGGCGCTGGTTTATGTAATCGTCCTTTGGACGACGTTGATGCACATGCTCGTCCTGGAACTGACGCTGTTGCATGCTGTCCGGTGAGCGGCGACGCTGCTTGGTCTGTTCCGGCAACAGGCTTGGTTGCATCTTGTCGTCCGGCTTGCGGCGTGGTGTTATATTGTCATCCGGCTCGCGGCTTGCCAGCACGTTATCGTCTTGTTGCCGCCTTTCTTTCGACAGTCCTGGTGCACTAGACACCAATGTTGTGGACTGTTCCTTGCGAGAGATGGGCGGCTGTGAGCTGGGCCGCATGTTCACTTGTGTTTGCCGTTTCGGTGAGAGAGGCGGCATCAATGTCGATGGCTCCTGCGGCGGCACTGGTTTGATTTCTGGCTCAGGATCGCGCAGCACTTTGTTTGGTTTAGCTGCGTTCAACATCTGCAGTTCCAGCTCAGATCGTTCGCGTTCCATGCGAAGTGCTTTGCTAGCAACGCGCTTGAACTTCTTCAGCGGCAAGGATTTGTTTCTGTTTGCCATGTTTGGGCTGTAAATAGAGTATATGTGAATTGAACAATTCAATATTTTTATGAAAGTTATTTCACCAAACATACACACACACACACACGGACACACACAAACAGCATAGACTGTTGTACGTATCTGAATATATGTGATGCTAATGCGAAGTAAATTTCAGTCATTTTTGAATAGGAACTCGATTCCTTATGGCGTTGCCAACTGTTATCGATAGGCAATACTATCGCCGCAACAGTTTCGATAGCAATTTATTGCGGCGCGCAAGAAGTTTGGCTTCTAATAATAAAGCATTTAATAGACAAAATAGCATGTCGGACTTTGATGATAATGCGACTGGCTTCGATATGGACAAGCAATTGGAATACTCAGACCAGCCGATGGAACTAATTGGAGCTGAAGCCAATCAGAAAAGCGTGGACATCCCTGAAATTACGCAGTTATTGAAACAATTTGCAGGGCTATGCCTAAACTATACGGTAAATATACATGCATACATACACACACATACATGCGTGAGGTATTAAATTTAATGCATTTTTAATAAACACGCCTTGTGCAGGATTCGGATAATAATTGTGTGCGTCAGGTGGTAACTTATGATCAAAACATATCCTCAAAAATTCTGGAAGAAAAAATGCAACTTTTGTGCAGCCTAAATAATTCAGTTAGCATTAAATTGTGCACAGTGGAACGAGTAGACAATATGCACAAGCAATTATTGCAACAATTTCACGATTTATTCAACGATGAGAACGAATATGTCCGTGCCTATGCCGAACACTGTGACCAGGCAATCAAGGCCAAAGAAGCGATCGCCGATCAAAGCGAACATGACGAATATACCGAAATGGTTAGTTTAACTGTGAAATGCTCATACAAACATATATAACATTTGAATTTGATCGACTAGCCGTACGTCCGTTTGATGGAATGCATAGCTGAACTGCAAACTCAACGAACTGCCATACATGCTGGCACTGCGGATATTGTGGCCAAATATAAGTTGCGGCTCAAGGAGAGGGACATGTTGTATAAGTCCATGTTGGACGAGACGGCAACTCTTGAGAAATACGAGCTGGAGGCAATGTAAGTGCGCTGCGGATATACGATGCAATTTGAAATTTGTTTACTTACTTATCTGCCATTACAGCGAGCTGCTCGAGCAATTGGAGTTGGAAAAGTGTCCACGTGCGTTGAACCAGGAAACACAATTGAAATAATTTAATTCTATTACACTTTTTCACACACAATTTCAAAACTATATATCTCTATATAATACATTAACAACATACACACATTTAAACTGACTTGAAATATAACTGTTACTTTTATGTTATTTGAGTTTAGTGGCAACGCTGTACCTATTATCGCCGATGACAGTTAAGTCAGCTGCTGCGCTGTTATCGATAACCATTTGGCACATTGCTCACTTGGTAGTTGATAATGCTCCGTAGGCCGTTGGGTTATTAGCTTTAATTGTGAAATCGGTTGTTAATTGTGGGCATGGACGAATCCTCACGTCAACGCATTGAAGATTGGCACCTGCGCCCGCCTAGCGATGCGCGCACAACGTGAGTACATGATTATTCCAGTCGTCAAAATGGGTTAACTCCTTTAATCCTGCTCTTCGAATGTGCAGGAATGTGCCGGCGGCGCCAAAATCAGCGCCGGATAACAAATCTCGCAAAACGGAGTTGCATGTGCTGCGCCTGAGCGATGAGTCACAGCAGCTAACCATGGACACGTTGCGTGCCATACACGGTCCAGACTTTAAGCTGGACGATATTGGCAAATACAAGGATCGCGGACGTGGCGGCAAAGGCATTAAACATGCCTATTGGGAGGATCGCGGCACACTGCAAGTGCAAAGTGTTCAGGGCGTTAGTGGGCCCAGCAGCACCGCCGATGACGATCGACTGCGTCGCTATGCGCTGCTCAAGCTGGAGAATTATGGCTTCCATCCCGTCCATTGCCTGGAGGCCTATGAGCATTGCTCTCACGATACGGAAGCGGCGCTGCTGCTGCTCTATAGACGCTATATGCGCGTGCCCAGCGATGAAACGCCCGAGCTAGAGCCGCCCGATGAGTCCGCGCTGTTGGACATGCGCGCCGACGAGAAGGAGGCGCTGCAATCCATCTACGATCGTGCGTACGAGGAGCGCGAATACAACAGCGTCTGGAATCTGAAGTTTAAGATTGAACATCTGCTGGCACACAGCCCCTCAGAGGTGCGCAAGGCGCGCGAAGCGGCCCTCGCGGCGACAGCGGCCGCCCGTCAGGCGGCATTGGACAAAAAGAAGAAGGCGCCGCAACGTTGTCGCAATTTCGATCGTGATGGCACCTGTAAATTTGGACCCAAATGCCGATTTGCGCATGTGCCGCCACAGCCGGAAGTGTCTGGGACGCCGGAGCGTAAGCGTGCCGAGAATCTGGATGAGAATGAAAATGAGCTGTGGTTCCATGTGGAGGTGCGCTTTCCACCCGGCAGCCGTTATCCATACGAGGCGCCCTACATCTACCTCAAGACCACCTGCCACGATATACCGCATGAGCTGCGGCTGCGCTTTGCGCGGCATTTGTATCGTGAGGCGCGAGAGATTTGCCGAGATGGCATACCCTGTGTTTACAGCGTCTGCGAGCTGCTGCAAACGGATGAGGGATTGGCTGGCAGTCTGGACACAGCGCGTTTTCCCTCGCCCAAACGCTCGCTGTTCTTCGATGAGCCGGCGAATGGCGCCGATTTGTTGGATGCCAACGGCGCTGCTGCATCAGCCCCACGGCCCAGCCACTATGAACGCGGCCAGACGGCGCGCAGCGACGGTGGCGCCCATCAACGCAATGCCACGGAGCTGGCGCGCGAAAATCGCCGACTGCTGCAGCTGTTCAATGAACGGCGTCGGGACGAACGCTATCACAAGCTGATCGAGGCACGCCGTAAGCTGCCCGCCTTTGCCGAAATGGAGCGCATACTGGCGCTAATTGACAGCAACCAGGTGGTTGTCATCTCCGGTGAAACGGGCTGTGGCAAGAGCACCCAAGTGCCGCAGTTCATACTGGACAATTGGTTCTTTCGGGCAACACAGCTGCCGCCCAAGTCGGATTTGCCGCATGTGGAGATTCTGTGCACACAGCCCCGCCGGTTGTCGGCTATTGGTGTGGCGGAGCGTGTCGCCGCCGAGCGTTTGGATCGTATTGGCCAGCTGGTTGGTTACCAGATACGGCTCGAGAACAAGATCTCGCCTAGCACACGCTTGAGCTTCTGCACAACGGGAATACTGCTGCGCCGGCTGGCCTCAGATCCCCTGCTGAGCAATGTCAGCCATGTCATTGTCGATGAGGTACACGAACGCTCACAGGATTCGGACTTTCTGTTGCTCATACTCAAGAATATACTGCGGGAACGCAAAGATCTAAAAGTAATTCTCATGTCTGCCACGCTAAATGCGACTCTCTTCTCCGATTATTTTGGTGGTGCGCCCGTGCTGGATATACCGGGACGCACGTTTCCTGTGCAGCAGCTTTTCCTTGAGGACATACTCGACTGCTGTGATTTTGTGATGGAATGCGATACGAAATACTGTCGCAAGCTCAAAAAGAAGGAACAGGATGTGTTGGAGCAATTGCTGGAGTTTGCTGATATTCAGGCATCCGGCGAACCGCCTGGCCAGAAGGTCAAAGACGAGAATCTTACACTGGCGGAGACATATTCCCGCTATGCGGGTAAGTTTTTGCCACAAACCAAATCGATAGCTACTCAATGCTTGATCCATTGACAGACTACAGGAAGACGACATGCAAGAGCATCTACCTCATGGAGCCCATGATGATTAATCCGGAGCTAATTGAATCCGTTCTCAAGCACATTGTGGAGGGGGAGCACGAGTGGCCGCGCGAGGGCAGCATACTCATCTTCTTGCCGGGCTTCCAAGAGATACAGACGGTGCACAATGCGCTGCTGGACAGCGCAATGTTTGCGCCGCGTGCTGGCAAATTTGTGCTGGTGCCGCTGCACTCGGCTTTGTCGAGCGAGGATCAGGCGCTGGTCTTCAAGCGTGCGCCGCCCGGCAAACGTAAAATAGTGCTAAGCACCAACATTGCCGAAACATCTGTCACCATTGATGATTGCGTCTTTGTCATCGACTGCGGCCTGATGAAGGAGAAGGGTTTCGATTCGAATCGCAATATGGAATCATTGGATCTGGTCTGGGTATCGCGCGCCAATGCCAAGCAGCGTAAGGGTCGTGCCGGACGTGTCATGCCCGGCGTTTGCATACATCTGTATACTAGCTTTCGGTATCAGCATCATATACTGGCGCAGCCGGTGCCAGAGATACAACGTGTGCCGCTCGAGCAGATTGTGTTGCGCATCAAGACGCTGCAAACGTTCGCATCGCGCAACACACTCGCCGTCCTCCTGGAGACACTGGAGGCACCCAAAGAGGACAGCGTCCTGGGCGCCCTGATGCGTTTACGTGATGTTGGCGCTTTAGATGCCGAGGATCAGCTAACACCGTTGGGCCATCATTTGTCCGCATTGCCCGTAGACGTGCGCATTGGCAAACTGATGCTGTATGGCGCCATCTTCCAGTGCCTGGACAGCGTGCTCACCATTGCCGCCTGCCTAAGCAATAAGTCGCCCTTTGTCAGTCCGCTGAATAAACGCGTCGAGGCCGACAAACGCAAGCGTCAATTTGCGCTCGATCACAGCGATCATCTGACCGTGCTCAATGCCTACCGCGTAAGTTGATGGACACGATATAAAGACTATAACTCACTTACACTGAATGTTGGCTCATCCACAGAAATGGCTGGCCGTGGCCAAGCGCGGCCACTATGGAGCCAGTCGGAATTATGCGAGTGAGAACTTTTTGTCGATCAATACGCTGGAGACAATTGCAGATCTTAAGTATCAGTATCTGGAGCTGCTCGTCTCCATTGGTTTTGTGCCCATCAATGTGCCGCGCAAGCGACCCAATTCCAGCGACAATATACTCCAGTTAACAGGTGACTTGGCTAGCTGAAACGTCCTCTTGCATTCTCAAACAAATCTCACAACTTTGCCCGCAGGCCACGAACAGAATGTGAATGGTGAGAACAATCGCCTGCTGACATCGCTGCTCTGCGCCGCTCTATATCCGAACATTGTCAAGATAATGACACCGGATCGCATCTATATACAGACCGCCGGTGGGGCTGTGCCGCGCGAGCCGGGCCATCAGGATTTGCGTTTTAAGACGCGCGGCGATGGCTATGTGCGCATACATCCATCATCGGTCAACTCTCAGGTGGCCGTCTTCCAGGCACCGTTTCTTGTCTACCAAGAGAAGGTGTGCACCAGCTCCATATATATACGGGACTGCTCCATGCTGCCATTGATTGCGCTTGTGCTCTTTGCCGGCTCCGATTTCAAAGTGGAACTCCATGACGGTGACTTTCTCTTTCTGCTCGAGAGCGGCTGGATCATATTGAAGGCGCACAATCATGAGACCGCCGAACTGGTGCAGTGTCTGCGCACCGAGCTGATCAAGCTGCTTGAGGAGAAGATCCGTGATCCGTGCCTTAATTTGCTGCACCACAAGAACGGCTGCAAGATCATCGCCAACATTACCCATCTAATCAGCAACAATTACTGATGTCCGCTTACATTTTGTTTTTTATTTTTTTTTTTTTTGTATTTGTATTCGTATTTGTATTTGCATTTGTACAATTAGCCAAGTTAATACATAGCCAATTAAAGCCAATTCATAGAGTCATTAACATCTGTTTGCAAATCATTTTTTATATTTTATACAAGAGCACAATGCAAATATACAAATATACAAATACAGAGTCGAATGTTTAACCAAAGTTTCTGGCGTCATTTTAAAGGGTGCAGCCGTTGATTTGTTTGGCTTTGATTGGACTTGGCTTACGCTCAGGTTTCCCTGCTTTAGCATATATTTATTTTGACGATCCCTAAGCAATCTAATTGAAATCTAATTGGGCCCTGTTGGAAGACTCCTGATTGGATCATCTTTTCATATGTCATAGAAATAATCTGTCGAAATTTTGAAGTTCTGGATTTGAGAATTCCCTATAGAAATCTGAAATAATATTTTTCTTAAATAAATATACCTTAAGATTTCAGAGCATAAAAAAAACATCGAATTTTCGACAATAAAACTCGTTCATATTTTATTTGCTTGATTGATTTGATTTGAATTTTGAATTGTCAACTTTTAGGCGCAGCTCGGACATCAAAGCGAATCCAATTAATCATGTTGGAATGTCGTTGTATTTAATATGAAACACTGCCGATCGATCTATAAGTCAGGTACATGCTAGGTGTCGCACTTAAAACTGAGTTGAAATTTCCCGGGCCCATCAATTACAATTCATTTGAATTTATTTAAATACACTTGATTCGCTTTGGCGCGCTGGTTTTATTTGTTGATGTTGTTGTTTTCTCATTAGTTTTTAAACAGCTCGAAATGTTGATATCAACGTCGATACATCAAAGTATCAAATGCACCTAATACGATAGTAATTAATTATACTTATCAATGATAAGCGCAAGAAATGTGCGCTCAATGCAAATGAATCACAATTCAAATCAGAATTGGCTTGCGAATTGTGAATATTTAAATTGAGCATAATGTTATTATTAACAGTTCCAGTTAGAGTGCCAGCTCATGTTCCAATTCCTGCCGACTTGCGGCTTGTCAAATCTGATTGGAATTCGGTTGTGAATATTTATGTATGTATGCTAGGCATAACGGTTAACAGCTAGGCTCTCAGTTAGCATTCGCTCTCATGCGTTCTCTTTCGCCACTACTTCGACCCTATTCATTTGTTGCTTTTTTTTTTAATCTCAATTTCGCACTTCCTTTGCTGCATCTTTTAGCACCTCGTTGAGTTATTTGCACGCTCTGATTTCGGCTTATCGGTTTTGTGCCCTAACCTAAATGCATGCGGGCTTAACGATCGGAATGTGAAGCTTGTAACATATATGAACACATATTATTTGGCATTGTGCAACACTTAAGCACTGTTAAAATCTATTAGAAATAGACAAGGAAACTCAATAAATATTAAAAAATGTTGATTGAAACGAGCTGTATTAATAGAAATATTTAATTATTGTTAATAGCAATAAGGACATTATATATTGACTTAATCAATCCAAAGAAGCGACAAGCTGCACCAACAAAAAGTTCGAAGGTTTCTTTCTAATAAACGAAAAAAGAAAAAAAATAGCTGACAAAACAAAAACATTGTTAATTTTATTTCCAATGTTTGGGGGGATGTTCAGTCTGGGATATCCAATTTTTTGTTGCCATTCTACGTCAACTTTAATTATTTCGATAAATTTCTAATCATGCGTCAAATGGCACGTGAGAAACGTTAAAACAATTATTAATCATGTGGAATTTTTGTTGTGTGTTGTTTTTTTCTTTTTTTTTTTCGGAGGGGGGGGGGGGGGGAAATACATTTCTGAAGATTTCTGTGGCATGGATATGCCGTGGCTAACGTAGGGCATTAAATGCTCCGGGCTGACCAATTGCCACCGTTCCGATCGGCACCGTTTGCTCTACTTTTTTGTTGGTTCTATTTTGTTTCTTACATATGCCTATACATACATATATGCATATACATACATATTTTTTTGCGGCTACCACTTAAGCGTGAGTTTTGTTTGTGAGCGTTAAGCTGACGCTGGCTGCGCTGCACGCTTTGGCAGCGGCGGCGGCGTCTGTTATCCAGTCGCCGAATGCGAATGTGAATGTAACTCTCGAGTGTTTATTATCAACACTATCTTTTGTTATAGATGTACTGTTGCTTCCACTTCTTTCTCCTTGCTGCTGCTGCTGTTGATGCATACACATACATACATGCACACACACACATACATATGCATTTATGTATGTGCATACACCGCTATACGCATACGTGTACAGCTATCTGTGCTCAGGTCTTGGGTAAAAACTGAGTCAATAGATTAGACTCCGAGGGAAAGGGAAATATAAAACAACAACGCTGCGATAATTCAAGTCGAATCATCAGTGTCATCAGTCTTATTATTGGCAGATGCAAGCGGAATGAGCGCTGTGCACGCGGTGCACGCGGTGCACGCGGTGCAGCAGGCACAGTGCTTGCAAGCACACTGAATTCGCTCTGAAAATCCCATTGGCTGGCTACGCATGCGCCAGTGTTGCCAGATCGAAAACTGATGACATATCATCATCATCATGTGATGAAAGCATTGTTGGATGGGTTGAACGGTGAAGGTGGGTCTTGGCGCTGCCGTTTAAAGTGTGCGCCTTCGTCGTAAAGCACTAAATCCGCAGACAAAACATTTGCGCTTCGACTGTTGCCGTGTTGTCTTTTTGCTGGTGTTGTTGTTGTTGTTGTTGATATTGTTGTGGGTGTGTTTGGGTTTGGCGTTGGCATCGGCGTCGGCATCGGCATCGACGCGTCGACGCCATTTGGGCCGGGGGAGGCCCATGGCCCGGCGACAATATAGTAGTAGTCCGGGCCCGCTGTTCGGTAAATACACTGACAAATTTTTTGCCATGCCAGTGAAAATAACAACAAACACAACAACATCTAAAGAGCATAAGAACAATACAAAGCCGAAATCAATGCCTCACTGTGCACACTGGTTGCTTGTTGTGAGTAGAGTGTATGCATGCTTCCGATTCGTAAGGCCCATTTAGCTGGGGTTGGAGAATGGCTTACACTGATGGGTAAGAATATGATTGATTAATAAAGGTTTTTGATACCAGGCTTGGGTATATATATATATATAGCTTTACAAATAAATGATCATTAAAAATCGCTTAATTATTATCGCCACACACCTGTATGAGAAAAAAAGAAAGGCTAAAGCATACATTGGGGCAATTAAAACAAAAGGATTTCAATATTTGATTCACTTGAAACACGTTTTCGTTGAAATGCGGCTCATGTATGCATGGCTATGACTTATTTTATTTTATATTGTAATTAACACTAAAGTAGGACCCAATTTAACCTATATAATTAATTCAGTTCTCACTAGTTTGCCAACCTCATTCTTATAGTTTTCTTATACAAAGCATATCTATCGAGCACGATTCTAAGCTTAAATTATTTATCCTTAAGCAGTTTACTAGTTAATAGCCACAAACAGGTTTTCATTTGCATTGAACCACTGTGCGATTGCTCTACTACCGTTCGTTGGTAGCAAAACGTAAGTTCAGCATGCTCGTATTGCTGTTGTTAAACTATGGCCATGGGGGGAGGGGAGGGCAAAGGAGATGGCGAAAAAGTGCTCGCGATTTTCGTAGTTGTCTTTTGTCGATCGCCGATTTATTTATTTTGTTTCTTTTACATTTGTAGTAGTTAGTCGTAGTAGACAGCAGTAAGCCGTGCGCTGGCTGAGCAGTTTGTCTGTGTGTGTGTGTGTGTGTGTGTCTGTGTGGGTGTGTATGCCTGTGAGGGGGATTGATGGGGCGGGGGTATGAAGTGCAGGTCGGTGCTTACTCGTCGCCGCTTGATACAAAGCACTCACTCAAATCGAGTCCCCCTTGGATCGCAATTGTCACATTCCCCGTTCGGATTCACACACGCGCACACTCAATGCGGGCGGGCGCCTTTTGCTTTGGAAGGCGCGATTAGCTCGAATGTACTCCGAACGGGGTTTGAGCTACATATTTCGGCTCAAAGTGAGTGAGCAGCGGGATCAACAATTAAATGAAAAGAAGAAGAAGAAGAAGAAAAAAAAATACGAAATCAAATAAAATAAAGTATAATAATAAAAATCTCACACATGGTTTACAAAGCAAAAGAGCGAAGGAGAGAGCAGGTGAGTGAGCGGTTAAGCGAGTGCACGAGTGCCTGTGCGTGTGTGTGTGTGTGTGTGTGTGTGCGGTAGACGAAGACGATCGGCCGTCAAAGGAGGTGTTGATAGTCGGACTTGGCTGTAACTTTAGCTCCGGATACCCGGCAGTCATATGATGGACGTATCGCGTACCGTAACGACGAAGCGAGCGTTGTGCGTTGTAGGGCAATATAGAGCATAATAGCTATAACCGTTACCGTTTCTGCCGTTTACCGTTAAGCGCGCATTAAAATTCTAATTCCTATTCGTCAACGCTGGCTGCGCAGCTGCTGCGAGCAGTGGCTGTGGCAGAGACGTGAGCTTCCAAGCATTTCAATTTAAATCAACGTCAAAACACACACACACACACGCGGCCCACACACACACACACACACACACAGACAAACATCGCATACAAAAGTGTCAACCCGCTGCCTGCAGCGCTTCAATTTCAATTCAATGCGCGCCGTGTAACGGTAACCGTCCTGTTCGTCGCGATCAACGGTTATATGCATTTGCGTTGTTGCTGCATCTGCAACGTTGTTTTTTTTTTGTTTTTTGTTTTTTTTTTTTGTACTCGTCTTCGTTTTTGCTTAGTGTTTGTAACGGTGCAAACGTAAGGAAATTTTTCACGTGCTGTGCGAAAATTTTTGATATTTTTGTTTGGTTTTCGGTTTGCTTAAGTGTGGGTATCAACCTTTATATTACAACTAATATAATTAAATAATGTTATTGCCAAAAAAAAAAAAACCCCAAAACGAAACTCCATGTAAATTGTTTGCCAGCAGGAACGCAGATCCTGTGCTAAGAGCACTTTTTGCCAGTGTTGATAACAATAAAAAAATAAAATATACATATAAATATATTTATATCAGTTTCATTACAAGTCCCATTTCTCGGTGCTATATCATTGACGGAGAGGCTAACGAACTCGGCTCCAGTAGTACATACATATACATATATAGGCAAGATCTATTGTATTCCAGCGTTGTCCAATGCAAAAGTGCGAGTGTCGAAATTAATCAATTGTATTATCATTACAAATGTGCTTACTTACAGTATGTCAATAAAGTGTTTTGACTAACGAAAAAAAACTAATTTTTTGGGTTTAGTTGAAAATAAATGTACCTAAAAGTGAGAATTTTTTTTCAATTATAATTTATTTCGATTCTATATTTCTCCTAGAACTTAATGGCAAAAAGAATTGTTAAATAACATTACCCAAACATTTTATAAAATTAAAAAACTAAAAACATTCAAATTTTATGCTGTCAATAAAGTGTTTTTACACGAAACTTTATTACTAAATAACAATGTTAAAAAAACAGGAATATTTTTTTTTAATACTTTGTGTGGCTGCCATTAGCGTCACATACAGCCTGCAATCGCCGTTTCATTGAAACAATAAGGTTTTGTATGTATGTTTCTGGAATCTTCTGCCATTCTTCCAGTACAGCAGCTTTTAAATCAGTTTTTGATTTTGGACTCCGCTTTGCGACTTTTTTTTTCAAATATGACCACACATTTTCTATTGGATTCATATCTGGACTTTGTGGTGGAGTGTCTAACACCTTTCCACAGTTGTACAACAGCCAAACTCTTACCATATGAGCTTTATGCTTCGGGTCATTGTCCTGGTAAAATTTAAAAATTGGCTTATTGTCCTCATAGAATCCAAATTTCTGTGCACTACTGACGAGATGTGTCTGTAAAATGCTCAGATATTGTCTAGCATCCATGGTATTCTCAATGAAGGTCAAATCTCCTACACCCTTGCTCGAAATACACCCCCACACCATCACTGATAGTTTTCCGAATTTAACGGTTGGAATAATATTGCGGTTTTCCAACGCTGTTAGTGGCTTTCTCCAGACTCTGGATGGCCCATCGTTGTAGAATAGCATCATCTTGCTTTCGTCACAGAATATGACGTTACTCCAAAAATCGTTCGAACTATTTACATGGACTTGAGCGAACGATAGCCGCTTCAAAATATTCGCCGCCGATAGTAGAGGTTTTTTCCTGGCAACTCGTGATGTGTAGTCATTGGAATTCAGTAATTTTCGGACAGTTTCATGTGACACATCAACACCACTTTCTTCCTTGAACTCCTGAGCAATATCCCTAAGCGAAATTTGTGGATTTTTCTCAATTTTTCTCAGAATTTTTCGCTTATCTCTGTCAGAAATTTTGCAGGGTCGACCACATACTGGCTTTGCCTCTAGCCTATCTTCCTTATTGGCTCTGTTTAATATGTTGTATATCGTTGCTTTTGATAAATTAAACATATCAGCCAGTTCCGAGACTTGACGTCCCATCTGATGGTTATAATACACCAGCTGAGCGACTTCAAAAGTTGTTCTTTTTCCTGGCATTTTATTTTTCATAAAATTAAAGCAAAACGTTATAAATTGCAATAGAAAATGACAAGAAAAGTCGAAGACACAAGAGAAGCCAAAACGCATGGGCCCAAATCTAACGGGATCACCCAAAAGAGAACGGCAAAACAATTTACCGTAGCTGTAAAAACACTTTATTGACAGCATAAAATGTGAATGTTTTTAGTTTTTTAATTTTATAAAATGTTTGGGTAATGTTATTTAACAATTCTTTTTGCCATTAAGTTCTAGGAGAAATATAGAATCGAAATAAATTATAATTGAAAAAAAATTCTCACTTTTAGGTACATTTATTTTCAACTAAACCCAAAAAATTAGTTTTTTTTTGTTAGTAAAAACACTTTATTGACATACTGTATATGTGAAATCAGCATGGGTCTGCAACGGCTGTGCTTCTGGTCATTTTGTTCAGCTTATCAGAGAGGATCCGCATTGCTCCATTCGACATAATAAACATATTTACCGAAATTTACACATTTACAGTTGTATATTTACAAATTTAAACTCGATGTTTCTGTCTCAAAAGCTGCACCGAATTGATTTTGTGCTTGAGCTGAACGAGACTGAAAGTTTCTGTTTAAAATTACAAATACTTGTTCTCTAATCAAAGCTAAATGCTTAAGATTAATACAGTTACTTTACAACGGAACAGGACTAGTTCACATAAAGTTTCGGGAGTTTAAAGAGAACCATTTCTTGGTAATCCAGTCAGAACTTTACATTTCTTATAAATATTTTCTACTGAAGATCTTAAAATTTAAAGCCAAGGCTCAATTTTTTAAATTTCTCACATTTGATTTGATTCGGGAAAGATTTGAATTCTTTACGATCCCGATATAATGAAAGATAATGTATTAAATGCGAGACTTAAGCTTCTAAGAGACTTAAGTACTTCGCTTGGAAAAAAAAATCTACTCTAAATAGAGAGACTAAGTTTAATATAAACTTTTAGATGGATCTGTCTATAAACTAAAGGCATGATTGTTTCCATATTATCGAAGAATATTTTTTGAAAAATCTCAAAGCCCCACCAGAAACGAAGAAAAATTTTGTGTATTTGTGACTGGAAGCTAAAATCTATCCTCTTGATGGCATTCAAAATGCTTGAATTCAATTTCAGGCACGTTTTATTTTCTGCCGTGTTCGATTCTCAATTTGAACAATCTAAACGATCTTTAAAATGCAACCGTGCTCCAGTTGAAAGAGAGCACGTCCATGTAGAGCTCGCACTTATGCTACTATATATGCACACGGTTATACAATATAAGTATCTCTATCTAAGTAAATGGCTGTAATCAATCAGTGTGAGGGCCTTTAACCCAAAGACTTGTGAAGAATTGAATTTCCCATGATTGCTAGCGAGAATCTTTAAGCGGACAGTCAAAATAAAATAATAACTATTTCTATAAAATAGATACTTTTCTGGCATTTAGTATTTAATCTGTGCTAATGCCTTGGGGCTGGCCAACCGTACGTCTTATCGCTGCCAAGGCTTCTTGGCGCTTTAGTATGTCAGTTGGTTGGGCATATTAGTTGCTGCCATCAATCATGTTGCCGGCAACAAATGTTGCTAGGCGCCGTGTTGCTAGCAACATGTTTGATTGCCATCAAAAATCCTTCAGGCCGTTCTATGCCTATTGCGTACCGAGTTGATGTGGGGTATGCTCGTTTTTTTGCAGACGCTTGTAACCGTTCGCTGAGTTGTTCTAACTAGATCTAGATTAAACTTAATAAGTGGGGACTTGGAATGTGAATTATTTATGTAGATACCATACGCAGTTCCAGTTTAATTCATTTTGGATCGTTTTTAGGCATCGTTTTTTGTTTATGGGGATATGTCGCATATTTTAAGGCTGCAAATCAGCCATGGGCAATTATGAATTACTAATTGAATTCTTTCATTAACATTTTAAAAGAGGTAGCAAAACAAGCCAAGTCTTGCAAAAAATAAACTAGAAAATAAACTATATATACTGAAGTTTAGAAAGTTTCTTTCGAGTTCTGATACGAATCGTCGCTCGTTTTTTTTCGATAAAGGGTATGACGTAGTCGAGCAGTCTTTTGTCGCTTAGCTATTTGGGTCGATCGCTGTTTTGTATTATCGACATTTGTCGTGTCGTGTCAGTTGGCATTATTAATTGTCGTGTTAGTCTAGGCCCTGGCACTACGTCAACTGACAAGCGGCATCAAGTTAAGAGTATCAGTCGCCGGATTCTTTCTTTCTTATCAATGGCCCGAAGACAACACGGGAGAGAGAGACGGGAGAGAAGACACGCTAAACAGGGACATTGATAGATCGAAATGCAATTAATCATGCATGTGAATTGCTTTGTTCAGCAATGTCAACATAATTAGCATTGCCCACCTCCCCAATGCTACCCATGCATGCCATTTATCCAAAAGATTCTAGTGGTTGGGTTCGTTTGGTTTGGTCTAGTCACATCTCATTCCTCATGCCGAGCAACCGGCTGCCACGTCATTGGAGTAAGCCCGTGCTGCTTCGTGGACAGCAGCAGCAGCAGCAGCTCTCTGTACGTTGAAGCGTTGTGATTATTTACTAAACGTGTTCATTTGCATTTGTTGCTATTTATTATTGATTATGCGACTGTTTAGCGTTCAGTATATGTAAATATTTTTTATTCATTCATTTCTATATTCATAATAAACCAAAAAATGAGCAAATCAACTAAATACAACTAATAATAATAGTGCATGATCATTATCATTCAAAGTGCCCGACTTAAGATTACTCTACAGTCAGTTGCATGCTAAGTTTTTGACTTTAACATGCATCTGGCTGTTAAATATTTGACATGAAGCACGCAAAGTGCCTGACTAAAGGTTTCTCTACAGACAGTTTTTATGTATTCAAAAGTTTCTTCTGTGCCTGTCACAATTTAACTGCATCTGATCTAATTACTGTTACTCTCTGACTTTAACCTGCATCTAGCTGTTAAATATTTGACATGAAGCAGGCAGGCGTTTGCCTGTCTAAAGGCTATTCTACAGCCCCGTTTTTATGTGTTCTAAAGTTTTTTCTGTGTCTGTCAGAATTTAACTGCCTCTGATCAAATTAGAGTTACTCTCTGACTTTAAACTGGATCTGGCTGTTTGTATATATTTGACATGAAGTTAAAAGCTTTGTGTAATAATAGCTGTAAGATATGTCATGCAAGATTATAGATTATTTCTGGTCCCTAATTTACATTTGAATATAACTGGAACCAATTCGATTAGCTGGCTTCAATGTCAAATACCAAGGTTACATATCATAAATTATGTAAGTTCTTAAGTTGGAACTTTACTTAACTTAATCCTAGGGTAACACCCTTATCGATAAATTGTCGGCCTTTCGTTTTTCATTTCATCATTCCGGAATTTCTACTGAAAAGATACCAAGACTTATATATTTTTTTGTTGCTGCTTGGTTTTAGACAATTCGGAGTATTCGTGTTCAACATCGAATCGGTTTGCAGCCCTGGTATTTATACGCGCATCGAACTTTTGTTTCATTGAGAAACTGTACACAAGCCGGAAAAGTTAATCACTCGCTTTGATCGCATCGATCGCTAGAACTTGATCTACAATCCTTTTCTTGGCTGCGATTGATTGCCATGGGCCGTGGGGGCCAGCACGTTGCACGTTGGTTATCAATTAGTAACCTTTATATGGCTATATTAAATGTTCTGTTGTTTTTCGCACTTAGCAAATCAAACATTGAGCAGATTAATTTACATGATCATAGATTTGGTCTTCGTCTTGGGTCGATTGGGGCCACTTGCTGTCATTTATGGGCTGCGAGCGAATTGTTAGCTTTGCCCAGAAATCGAGTAAAAGCGCACAAAAGAAAGCAACTTTGATCTACGCTTCCGTGTCCATACTATATATATATATCTCTTTTGTATATGCACACTTTTGTGGTTTGAAAATGTGAAAAAGATCGGACTTTATGCACCGAAACACATCGCGTACAGATTTTGAGCGAAATTCAAAAGAAGGAACTCATTCTCAAGGGCTGGGCCATATTTGTGGTCTGACATCATGGCACCTAGTCCGGCACACCCGACTGGAGCTACCTTATTTTGCATTTTTTTTTTGCAGAATTTTCCATTCCATTGAAAATACGGCAAGCCCAAAAATCAGGGCAACAAATGGGCTCATTAAAATGTTTGTTTTTATAAAAATTAAATAAAAGTCAAATCAAATCAAATACAATAAATGCAAACACTTCCATTGAATGTCGCGTCATCATTGACAAAACGCGCCCAATAAATGCCATTTTTTTTTTTTTTTTTTTTTTTGTTAATTTTGTTTTTGTTTTGTTATTGTTAACCAAATGCTTAGCCCAGTTTGTTGGCCATAAGCAATGCCTATTGACTTTCAACTGAAAACAAACACATATCATAGATAATTTCGGAAAAGATTCTCAATACTTGTACTACTACTATAAAATTGATAATTATAATTGAATAAATGATATTGTATGCACTGAATTATTATCAGCTCTCCACTTGACTTCAATTGCAACAACAATGGGAATCGAAAATAAATATGTATATATGTAATAGATAGTTGATGCCTTGAGAATTGTTTGGTAATGTTCCATGTATTACTTGAGTACTGGGCCAAGTTGTAATATGAAAGAAAACTAATTAGAGGAAATCAAAGAAATATCTAGAAACTAAACTAGGTTCGGAGTTAGGTCACACCAGAAATTTAGAGTAATTCCTTTTATAACATCAGTTAATATAAAATAATTATATGAGTAATGCTGATGATAATAATAATGATAATGATAATGATAATGATAATAATAATAATAATGATAATAATAATAATGATAATGATAATGATAATAATAATAATGATAATAATAATGATATGAATAATCATAATGAAAATAATAATAATAAAATTAATAATAATATTAATAATGATAATGGAAACTTTTAGCTACAAATATCTGGGGACCCATTCATTGGATTTGTGTAACCAAATGGGTTAGACGCCAATTTTGGGCAGAGGTCAAATATAGCCCGCAATTTCTTGTGAAAATATCTACGATCGGCAATATTTTCGGTAGAGCGCGGGCATATATAAATTAAAACTGGAATTCTAGAATTAGTAGCTTAATCGAATGTCAAACGAACCACCGACTTCTCTTGTGATAATTACAGGATATTTGTCAGTCCAATATACCCGCTTATCGCATTCCTATGCCCCATAACACTTATCAATTATGAGCCGCACACTCCGCTAAGTCAAACTTAAGATCAAATATACAATTTCACGTAATACTCGAGCACCTGTTGGTAAAACTCCTCCGTCTCTCTCTCTCTCTCTCTCTCTCTCTCTCTCTCTCTCTCTCACTCCCTCTCCTCATCTCTCGCTCGTTGCGCCTGGTGACAAGGTTCATAAAATGTCTGATGGGCGATACGATTAAAGAGAACTACCTCAACATGAA